TTCTTTAAGAAATTTTCATATTTCATTCTTTCTCCATACATCATAAAAATACAAGTGCCATAAAAACATAATCTATTGCCTTACCGTGTCTAACTGTAGTAGAATTCTCATTGGATTTTTTTTCTTTTAAGAAATTGAGGATTTTTTGAGAAATAATTTTTACGTTAAAAATGACTACCTGTTTAAAATCAATATACAAAAATAAGATTAAGAGCGGGGGAGGAAATGAGCAAAACTCTGTAGCTCATAATTTTTCTTTTTTAAAAAATTAAACTTTTTTCTTCGTTGAGTTCGTTTTTAAAGACATGCTTATTGCTTTATGGGCAATTGCACCAATTACAAATGTCACGTTTGCAAACTTTAAAAGCATAAAACTCTCGACTAAAAAAAAGTCAGGCATTTTTGTTAAAATAACTTTTGGCATCATTTACACTTACTGCAATTTTTATTAACGTATAAGAAATTTAAAATTATTTTAGAAAAAAAATAATAACTGGCTGCTACGAATGTAACATATTTAATAACACTAAAATTAGTTAATTTTTTAAACTAATGAAATCACTTAAATATTATTAAAACTTTTTGATTTTAAGAGTTGTGTGCTCTTAAAGTCAGAAAATATGACATTTGTAAATAGTAGAACTCCCTTAAACTTAGTATTAAAACAAGGAATAGTTTTAAACTGCAGCATTAAAATGTGTGGGGTTTTTGTTAAACAAAATGTTCAGAGTTGCTATTTTTCCTAACATTATAAATAAATTTTTTCTTCCTTAGAACCCTGTAGGCTTAAATTTGTGAAGAAAACAGTAACGCTAGTGCCAGAAATAATAGATGAAGAATGCTATTATTGTGACTTTTGGCACTACACAAAAATAATATCTTTTACACTTAAAGGATTAAGAATTAAATATTCAAATTTCAGATGGACATCTACTTAAAGTCCATAATATCTAGCATTAGCTAATATTATTTGGTAAAAAGACTGACACAGTAAAGTGTATAGTAAAGTGCATTTTATTTTGCAAATAATTGTCTTCAACTTCAATTACTTTTTCTCAAAAAGGTGCAAACCTACAAATCAAGCTTTTGTAAAAACTCTTATCTGACCAAAATATTGTTCCCTGACATCATCAGAACTTAGCTCAAATAAATACTTATTTATAGATAGTCACAAGTATTTGATAGTTTGATGGAAAGATGCCAGGGGAGTGAATAGGAGGTAAAACTTCAATTTAAAAATGAAATACACTTATCATTTCTTTGATTACTTTAAACACTGTTTAGCCGATTTAAATTAGTCAGCTGTAGAGCTAACTCTTTGCATTTGTTTTGCGTACACTTCTCCAATTTATGTTCTATTAAAACACATTAAATAACTTACAATTTGCCTCACAGAAGTTACCCTTACCAGAGGAAACACTATTATTAGCAAGCATTTGCAATTAAAAAAAAAAAAAACATGAACTAGTCTGTCCTAAAAATAAATCTGAAGTAAATGAACTACAATTCATTTGCAACTCAAATACATAAATATTATATCTGAGTGGCAAGGCTGAGGCCCGTTCCTCAAAGTGCAAGAAGCTCAATGTTTATATTCTGTAAAAGTTTTGAAAATCCTTGTTCAAAATTGTAGTCTTTAAATAGATAATATAAAGGAATTCTCGTAATTTTCTTTCAAAAAAGTAGGGTGACCTGGGGTAATTCCTGATCAAAAAATGCAAACATCTATTTTGTGAAAAAACTATTCAAGATAGAATTTTAATATTTATTGGAAGTTTGAGGCTATATGAGATGAGTTCTATGCTATCTTCTTTTGTTTGAAAATCTAGTTAGAATTTAAAAGATTTTAAATTTTTAGTGATCAGGAATTACCCCTTCTCTTGATCATTTCTGGGGTAATTCCTGATCACTTCTGGGGTAATTACTGATCACCAGTTTTTATAGTACAGGAGCTGTTTAAAAATAATTATACAATGGTAATTAACAAATAAGGCATCAAGATCAAACAAATAAATCAAAAAGATATGTTTAAGGAGCTAATAAAATGATTTATTTAAAAAGCAAGAATAGAGATTAACACTTTAAATTTTCCAAAAATCTATGCATCATGTCATACATTTTAGGCAAGCAGCCAACTCATTCTCATGTTCTGCTGAAACATAAGAAAGAGTTCACTCATGGGTTTCTTTTGCTGGATTTTGTAACTTCATTAAGTGAGAGTGTAAAGTTAAGTAAGGTATGTCAACAACTCTCACACTGAAATTTTCATTTTCAATCATTAAAAGAAATTCACTAATTTTGTTTTCTAGAAGCTT